CTGGAAGGCAGGAAGCTCTGGGGTCTCTGCATCGGAGCCCTACCAGCCATCCCCTCCTTTCATCCTCTAAGGCCCTGCAACCTGGGGTGGGACCCTGTGCCCTGGAGACCTGGCCCACCTCAGACTGCAGTAATACACCCTGTAAACCTGGCCCTTTTGCTACCCACTACCCATCTTGCCCTTAAACCTCATCCTCCCAAATTAGCTATTGAAATCGGAGACAAATGATAAAAATAAGTATTCAAAATACAGCATTAGGCTTTAGTTTTTAAAGTAAATACATCACTGTTTCCCACACCATCTTTCTGAGGCTAGGCTCTAGGATGCCCCACAGCGCGACGGTCTGTAACAGTGGTCCGCTCTACGCCATGAATATAGCCTGGTGACAAGTCCCTCCCACCTCAGCCAGCCAGAGACCAGTTTCCATGTCTGTGAATTGAGTAACTGACTCATGGGGCCAAAGCACCAGAGCCTTCCAACTCCCAGGCCCCTCACCTCTTCAGACGGCACAGAAAGGCCTGTTGGCAATCTGTTATCCGACTTTTAATTTTCTTGCACACGCAGGGTACAAAATCCTTGGTTATTATTTTTGTACATTCAAGAAAATACCACAGACTGACTCCTCTTAAAAGAAACCCCAGGTTCTTGGGGCTTCAACTCCCCAAGGAATCCTTCTGTGGGTCCCTCAAGGCAGAGGGAACCTTGCAGCCCCCTCTCAGCACACGCATATTTGAATTCTTAATACAAACAAACCAGGCATGACTCTTCAGGTCTCCAGGCGCCTCCTCAAGTCACTGGGACCTCTGGGAAGGCAAGACGGCAAGTATTTCCACCCCAGTATTTTCAGCACCTTGCAAGGTTCCTGCAACAAAATAAGCTCCCAAGAAACACAGGCTGAGCTGAATCCAAAACCATCCAACTACCACCATCACCAAAGCCAAAATCAATACAGCCCCAGCCTTCCAGAACAGGTGGGTTTCCAACAAGAAACCAATGGGTGGCTCAAATGCATGGAAAAGTGTGGGTTTGGGAGCGAGGAGGCACAAAGGGTTAACCCGTTAGCTCTGTCACCAACAATCCTGGTGAAGTTCCCTCTGACCTCCTAGTTTTGCATTAAAGCAAAACAGTTGAACAAAATGATTGCTAAGGTCATTTGTAGTTCATAGGTAGGAATGAACTAGGCCTGGCAAGGTCCCCATGGTTCCTTTTATAATATGTATCCCTTGGAAGTCCCCATTGGTATCACTCAGTGCCATTAGGTGTGTGAAACTTCTGGGCCATCTTTCAAAATCTAGTGTTAAGAATTGCTAGAAAATGACTTTGCCAAGTAAGTGCGGACTCCCAAAGGTCCAGAGCCACCTGTGTGTGAGAGGAGGGATGCCCTTGGCACAGGGTAGTGGCTGGTCCAGTCTCCCCAGTCAGGGCTGCAATGCCAGGCCATTTTGAGGAAGAATTTGTAGCCAAAGTAAATGAGGTGGGGCCTGTCTTCACAAAGAAAAGCTTTAATGGAGCAAAGGTGACTGTCAACAGAACTGCAGAGCCTCTCATCTTGCAGAATGAAACAGATCCAGAGCCCAGAATAGCTTGGGTGCCAGGCTGCAAAGCAACCGAGCACTAGCAGAGAGGCTCAAATGCAGACTCTCACGAGCCCACATCTGGCTCCTGTGACCAAAGCAGAGCCCGAGACGGCTCTCAGATTCCCAGGTTTGCACGCAGGGCCACTGAAGTTTCCCTTCGGGTCACTGTGCATAAACCTTAGTCTAGAATTCTTCATGCCCAGGCTGGCTCTCCCTGGGCCTGTGGAGGCTGTGCACACATGTGCCCAGGACTCACCACAAAGCTCCACGGAAGTCCCCAATGCATGGTTTTATTTCCCAGGTTTCAGTTCCTCAATTTCAGTTCCTTGCAATCAACTAGAGCCCAAAACTATTCAATGGAAAATTCCAGAAGTAAATAATCTGTACCTTTTTAACAACTTATATCACAGTATATGGTTATAAATGGTCTATGTTGTTACTAGTTCTTATTCATCCCTTCCTGTGCCTAATTTATGAAGTCTATCACGGCTATGTACATCTAGGAGTGCCTGTTCATGGATGGTTACAGGCATCCACTGGGGTCATGGAACATACTTGAGGATAAGGGACAACTATTTAAGGACAAATGGCCCGTAGATTTTGTCTTTCTTGGTTGCTCTGTGGTACCGGACAGGTTGAGATAAGAGTTAAAGTTTAGATCCTACAGGATCTATCCACAGATAATTCCTTTGAGTCAGCAACCTCTTATCAGGGATGACCCCAGCAAAGTTCAAGGTAAACTGACCAGGAGGTCAGAAAGCCAGTCATCCCAAGAGGCTCCTCCCTGGGGGTCTGCGCCCTGGGGGTCTTGCCTCTCGAGTGGTGTCCTGGCTTGGGGGCTGCTTGGAGGGGAGACAGAGCCACCTGGTGTGAAGTCTATACCCTTCCCTGCCAGGCCCACACATGGACCTGCTCCCCATGCCTGGAGGTGGGGGATCTAAGTGCTCCCAATATTGGTGATGGTCCCCGGACTTTAGGAGTGAGGTGAGGCAGGAGCCTGATACTGCATGCAGGATCACAGACCTATCCGCGGCCACAGACACGCTCAGAAGTCGGCCTCTGCCTGCTACCGCAGAGAGCTAAATCCACACTGAATGCCACCCTCTGCCATCACTTCCAACCACACTCCCCCTTCACCCCAAGAGCTCAGTAGGCTACTGTGGCCTCTAGCCTAGGAAGGTGAGGTGAAGCCCCTGCTCAGTCCAGTCCTGGCCTTGCTTGCTAATACCACGCCAACAGAGACATGCAGGACACCAAATGTCAGCACTTGTGCAATTTCAGAAAGGCAGGAGAAGGAGCCTTCTATCCAGTCTTTCCTTTCTTTATTCAGCCAAAACTGTGTGGTGGATCTCCTGCTGCCCAGACCTGAAGTCGGGGCACATGCATCACACATATGCATTGAACTTATGTGTACACAGTTCACACCTATCCACACACTCACATTTTATATGGAATACCTATTTTGCAGGACACAGTTTGGAGACAGTAGTAATGGACTCAAGTCACAGATATGGAAACTGAGACTATGGGAGGTGAAGTCTCATCCTCAAAGTCAGAGAGGCAGAGGCAGATGAGAGGAGTCAAGAAGAGAACCCACTGGCACCCAGACCTGGGCAGAGGCAGGAGGTTTAGCAGAGTGAACTCTGGTGTGTCATTTCAGTCCATTAGGGGATTTCGGAAAATCGCCCTGGTCCTGGGGCTTGGGGCAGGAAGGGGAGGTACAGGAAAGTGCAGAGAGTGACTCTGCCTAAGTAAGGCCTCCAGGCCCCTTCCGCACCGAGGAGCCAGGCGGCAGTTTCCACAGTAGCCAGCAGGGGGCAGTGCACCTTGCGTTTTCGAGCCCTGCGCGCTCTCCCGCAGCACCCGGGAAAGAAAACCAGGGGGCACCGCCCGCAGCTTCTAGGAACGTGCCAGGAGTGGAATGTGGCACGCAGTAGGGACTGAAGACATGTCCAGAAGCCGAAGGGCTAGAGCAAATATATGAATTTGAATTTAGTAGTAGAAATGGGGAGGAGAAGGAGAGAAGGTGTAGGGCCCCTGTCAGCTCCCCCTATCGTAGCGGCCTTGTCACTTAACAGTGTGTGCACCTACTGTGTGTCAGGTGCGGTGGCGGCGACTGGGCAATCTCGTTCCCTGCTCACGCCATTTTCCGGCTGGCGAGGCTCTCCCCATCGCTCCCCTTCCCCACCCCCACTCAGCCGCAGAGCCGGGGTGGGCGCTCGCTGTCTCCCTGGGGAACCATCTCCGCACAGATCGTTGGGCGTGGGGGCCCGCGAGGGCGATAAGCCGAGAAAGGCGAGAGGTCCCCGGAATCACACGTGAAAACCCGGCGAATGTCTGATGCGGCGACGCGGCAAGCTTGTCCCTGCCCTCAGGGTCAGGGCTGTCTCCCTCTGCGGGACTCGCCTGGCCCACGAGACGCAGTGGCCGGCCCTGCCCCCACACACTCTTGCGTTTCTGGGCCCGCACGTGCCCCGCTCGCGGAGTGCCACCACGCCGGGTGCGTGGTGGGTGCCGGCTAGGACCCTCCCATTGGAGAGACGAGAGACTCAGCTCCAGCGTACAGAGCCCAGCTGGGAGACCTGGCCACCAGGCAAGGCGAAGGTTTATCTGTGCTAAACTGGGGCGCAGCCTCAATCCCCATCTCAAGTTCGGCGGCGCTTACTCCTGCAAGGTCACTCTCAAACACTCACGCTGAAAGTTGCGCCACCGTCCCGATTCCGAACTAGCTGTACCCCCAGCAACTCGCCAAGCCCCAGAGTCACCGTTCTCCATCCCAGTGCACTCCTACAAGGGGAGGACCCTGCTTGCGCAGGTCACACACGCTAGAGACGCAGACAAGTTGCTAACTTTTGTCACATTATTTCTTGGCAGCTGAGACGCCTAACGGGGCTGGGGAGGACTCAAGAGTTTCGAATTGCCACCAACACCACCACTGCCACTGTGATCCCTCCGCCCACCGGAATCCCCCACCTCCCACCACGCCGCGTCCAGCTGACCGGTCCCTGGCGCCAACTTCTCCCCCGATCCGGGGCAGCCTAGGCTGGAGTCGTCCCGGGAGCTGATAGCCTCCACCTGAGTCTGCGCCTGCTCACAGCGGATTGGGAGACTGGATCCGGATACTGTCCCACCGCCTCTGGGCCGGATCACTAGCGGCCTCTGCGCGCCCCCGCGGTATCCCAGCCAGAGACCCCGGCTTCACTCTAGAGCACAGGGGACCCGCTGCCCCTACGGGTCTCCTGACCCCTAGCGCGGGTGGGGTAGATCCAACCGGTGCCGGGCGCAATGTCACTGGGGCCACTACGGGACCGCTGCCCCAGACGGCCGTAGGCTTACTGCTGAGCTCCGGGCGGTTCCTCCAGTAAGCTCTGGAGACCCCAGAGCCCGAGCCTCCTCCCATACCTTCCTCTCCAAAAGACCCAGATGGCAGCTGCGGCCCGGGAAGGGGTCTCCCTACCGGTATCTTTCTTCCAGTGCCTGGGGTCTTCATTCCCACCTCCACCGTCACACCCTGCTAGTCCCCTGCCTACCCCTTCTGTTCCTGGGTCCGGACTATCACCCCTGCACTAGGAGAACACACAGGAAACTGCCCGAACCCCAACTCGCGCGGACGCAGTCCCCCGCGCACCCCGGGCAGCATTCGGCTTCGCGCGCACACTCACCACGGCTGAAGACAGGCTAGAGTTTCCCGGCTTTGGGCATGGAGGGGTTCCGAAGAGTATGTAAGACGCGGGTGTCCCGAATACTCACCCCTGCCCAGCTCACAGAGCCTCTTCCTCCTTTCTCCCCTTCTTCTCCTCCTCTTCTTTCTCCTCCCTCCGGTCTAGGGCTCTTTGTCTTTGCAAAGTGTCGAAACTGTCTGGCATAGTGGGGCTCCTCCGGCGGAGGCTAGAGCCGGGGAAGCGGGAGGCGGGGTGAGGATGGGAGCGGTCTCGGGAACACCTTCCCCGGGGTGTAACGGGAGCGGGAGGCGGGGCGACCACCGAGGGGCCGCCTCCCGTGGCCGGCCGGGGCCGCGAGCGGGGCGCGCCTGAGCCCGGCCACCGCCTCCTCGGCGCGCGGCCCTCCCCTTCCTCCGCCCTGCGCCCGCCCTCCGCGCCCCGCGCTCCCTTGCGCCCCTCCCGCCGGACTCGGCTCGGCTTTCCCCTCTCCGGGGCTTCCTGAGAGCCGAAAATAGCTCTGCCGAGCCACGTGGACTGCCGCGGGCTGGGCTGAGGCCCGGCCGGGGAGACGCTGGAGGCGGCGGTAGCGGCGGCTGCGGCGCGGGGACCGTATCACCGCCCAAAGAGCGGCTGTGCTGGAAAGCTTCGCGACTCCCCGGGTCCGATCACCGCCGAAAGCGGGAGAGGCTAGGGAAGAGCGCCGCGGCGGCCCAGGGGCCCTGGGGTCAGCCCGGGGAGGAGGCGATGGGCGCACTCCGAGCGGACTTGGCGGTGCCCAGAAGAGCCCGAGTCGGGTGCACGGTGGCGAGAGGGGCCGATTCCCCTGCTGGCGACCGGGCAGCCAGCCGACTGCCTCTAAAGGCGCGGGACTCGAGGTGGGATTTAGAGAGAAGGAAGAGGGAGGAGCGCGGTGAGGGCGTGGGGACTAGTGAGGCCGGAGCCCGGGCCGGCGCATCCCGGCTTCGGAGCCGCATAGCTGGTACCGAGATCTGGCCCCCGCCCTTCTCTCCTCTTGCCGCGGATTTTCCTCCCTGATGCAGAGGCTGCCGCTCGCGGTCCAGAGCCCGGGAAGGTTGGGTAGTGGGAGCCAGTGCGGGAGTCGGCACCGAGGCAGCCTGGGTCGTGTGCTTTGGGGTTTGGGGATTAGGTTTGAAGTTATGCCCTCCCTCTTATAGGGAAATGAGTCGACGGAGACTTATTTTGATGAATGGCAGAGAGCTGATCTTGGAGGCTAAATGCTGTACACAAGATTTAAGAGGGATTTCCAAAAATCTGTTTTTTCTGCCTTATTTATTCCTCACTGGTTGGGACCCTCTCTTTTGCAACTTCTGGTGGAATGTTAAGAGGAAGAGGCAAAGCGTGCCTGTAGGTCAGTTTATTCTTCCAGCTCCCGTTTCTCCAGGAGGAGGCCAGCCTTTTGTAGTGAAAGGTGAGAGAGAACTGCCTTGCCATTCCTTCAGCCACCTGAGGGCTGCTGCGTCGCATGGTTTCAGCCCATCTGCAAACCCTGCGCTGCGCTCCATGGAGGGGTGATCTTGAGCTAGTTCCTGGGTCCCTCCGCATCCTGAGCTTTGTGCCTTGTTTTCCTTTTTTTGTGAAAAGGGGCCCAATAACAGTGTCTGTCTGGTGGGGCTGTGGCGATGATGATTCGCTCACATATAGTTGATCCCTTGGAAGCGTACTTAGCACCTACTGAGCGCTCAGGTGGATTTGGCCTGGAGGCAGCGCACCTTTCTGGCAAGTGGCCTGCCCTAGGTGATGAGGTGGAAGTGTGCTGAAAACTTCAGGGGCATGGGAGAGAAGAGAGATATTTAAAGAAGACTGAAGTAGAAGAGAAACTGATCAAAAGGAGAGGAGGAGAGAGAATGAGAAAATCAGCCACTACCTAGGGAAGAGATGTCAGAAAGAGAAAAAGGCCAAAACAAAACAACCAAGCATTCAAAAGGCGCATGGATCTGTTGGCCGCCTTCAAGGACCCTGTGAGCCCCATGGGCCTGCCCTGCCTGACCAGGAGTTTGACAGAAAAGGTTTGGTGCTTCATGAACTGCTGTGAGCCCTTGGCCTGGCCCCATTGCTTTTGGTTTTGATGCTGGGGAGTGGGTGGGCACTTTGTCCTGTCTGGAAGTGTCTCCTGGGGTCAGACTTTGCCACAGTTGGCACTCCCCAGAATGCTTGTGTTGGAAGGAGAGGGGAAGCAGAGAGTTCCAGTATCACCAGCTGCCATCCTTTCCAGCTGAGTGACTTCCATCTGGACCACTCAGATTCTCAGCACCCAGAGGTGTGACTCATAGCATCATCCTTGTGACTCTGCCGGTGGTCGGCTGCTCTGCTGTCCTCACAGGGAAAGCTGAGCTGGCAGGTCTGCATGGTTCTCTCTGCTGGCTGTGCGCCTCTGGATTTGACAGCTGGCTGTGCACAGGGAACACGCTGTGTTTTGCCCCCTGCTGACTGCAGTCCCTGTCTCTGCTGATCACGTGGTAGATACTCAGTAAAGAGTTACAGGATGAATTAATAAAAGAAGTGTTGTTTATTGTGAGGATCAAATAAAATAGTGCATGGGGAAGCACTTTGAAAAATGAGAAAATGCTGTACTGATATGAGACTATATTACTCTATTCTGGTAGAGTTTATAGTCAGAAGTTCAGATTAGGCAAAATAAATAGCTCAGGCCATTCATTCCGTTGCTCCACTTTGCAGCCTAGAACCAAAACTAACTCAGGTTTTGCCCCGGATTCTTGGTGGGTCCCTGGATATCTCCACAGTGATATGGAAGTTTGTGATTAAAGTGACACAGTGGTTAAGCACGTGCACTATCACCTTATCTGTATGAAAGGCTGCACACCAGCAGCCTCTGTGTCCAGTCTGGTGGGTTAGCCCAGGCATGGCCTTTCTCTCCACCCACCCTGCTTCCTTTCTGATAGAACACTTTTCTTCCCAGGTAGCAGGACCCTCTCCTGGTCTTTTTTTGTGTGTGTGTGAGTTGTGAAATTCCATGCAAGTAGCTCTTTTGATGCCCTGGACGATTTCCAGGAGCTAGGGAAACAGGGCTCGGTGCCAGAGGCCTGTGCATGCATTCCTCCTTGTCACCCCCAGTGGATCTCCCCACAGGCGCTGCCAGAAAACAACTGGTAGGAGTCCCTGGGGGGAGCACCTGCATAGTGGGTCTCCTGGGAGCCTTGACATTGATTTAGTGCTCACTGCTACCTCCCACTTGTTCAGAGCAGCAGCACAGCTCTCAGTAACAATGGTTAAAGAAATTGATTGCTTCCCTTCCCTACCCCCTTCCTTGGCACTTCAGAGTGGAAAGATCCTAATGGGTTCTGAGCCCATTGGGGTGATTGTGCAGAAAAGGAAAGGGCCACCTAGCTTGTGAGAGATGAGCTCAGAGGTGCCAGGCACATGGAGTTCTGTGTTTTGAACCAGGCTGTACTTAGGTCCTGGGACTATACAGACCTCTATGTTTCCTTAGCAAAAAGAAGTTGATCCTATGCCCACAGAGGAAGCTGGGAGGAGAAACTGCCCGTCTACATGCCTGTGTGTGTGTGCATGCGTGTGTGTGTGTGCACATGTGTGCAGGCCCCTCCTCTCTTCTCCCTACCCCCAGGCTTCCTCTGTTGAATCCAGGATCTCCCCTACAATTTTCTGCATGTTGGTGGCCCCGGGTCATGGCAATTGTAGAAACAGTCTTGACTTCATTTTCCCCTCTTGATCCACTTCACATTTTAGTTTTCCCAGGAGAGGAATCTGATTGACAGGCCTCATCCCCAGGGTCATGGGTCACCCACCCAACCTGACCTGAATAGGCTGCCCAGGCAGCATGTGTCCACCCCACTGGTGAAGTCAGAGAGCCCTGCAGAAGATGTGGCACTGTGGGGAATGCAGGACACATGGCACTTAAGCCCCCTCTAGCCTCTAGCACTGAGAATCCGGGGGGGCTTAGGGTTAGCAGAACTATTCAGCAGAACTGTAAACTTGACACCGTTCGCACAGACCCAAGTTCCCACTAAACCAGCTGATAAGTTTCAGTCATGATCACCGTAATCTCTTTGTCCGAAATGGGCTCAGGAATGAGACTGAATCCATATTTGGACCACCAAGATATGGAGACAAATATGCCTGAGTCTTTCAGGAAAAATGTTAAGAGTAAGTCCTGGTTAGGGGGTGGGGGGTGTAGCTCATGGTAGAGCACCTGCTTAGCATGATCAAGGTCCTGGGTTCAAACCTCAGCACCACCAGAAGATAACAAAACAAAACAAACAAAAAAACACTAAGCCCTAGAAAGCTCATTTCCAATTTGACATGAGCAATAAAATGTTTGTGGCATAGTTTCTCCAAGTGATATCTTATGTGCCTGGAGGAAGTCAAGTTGAAGACAGGTTGCTGTGGTTTGGTGGTTTAATCGTGTCCCCCAAGGATCCCTATATTATAGGTTTAGCCATGAGGTAGAAGTACTGAGAGGTACTATGGACTTCAAGAGGTAGGGCTTTGTGCAAAGTCCTCAGGTCATTGGGGGTGTGTCCTTGAACTGGGTTCTGACCTTCTGTGTGTGCTCTGGTTGGAGATGTGACTGCTCCTATGTAGGCCCTGACATGATGCTTTGCCATCTGCCATCTTCCCCAGAGACTAAGCCAGTGGAGCTGCCTGTGGAGCTAAATGAACCTTTTCACTTTGTAAGCAGCCCGTGTCAGGATTCTGTTGTAATAGCACAAAGCTGACTGATACCAAAGTAGATCCAGAAACCTGGCCACACCACACCTGAGCCTCCCTCCAGACTCCCTGTCATATAAGTCAATGAAAGACCTTGTTTTAAACTATTTTGGGTCGTGGTCCTGCTACCTGCTGCCACTCATTTATTTTCCTGAAGACGCCCTTCTTTCCCTCAGGTCACTCCCAAGTTCAAAACCCTTAAAACTGCAGTGGCTCCCCATTGCCTAGCCAAGAGAATCTGACTTTCCTGAGGTCGGCAGTTCAGATCCTTCTTAAAGTGGCCCCAGTGTGTTTCTCACTTGTTTTCTTCTAATACTTTTTACAAACCCTGTATTAACAGGCCTGACTCAGCCCAAAAGCACTGGTTAAATTCTGTGTTGTATATTCCTGAAAACATATCTCCATCTTGCTGGGGTGCTGAAGATTTCCTTATCAGCCATGATGGGGTCTCCCCAGCCCCCCAGGGCACACAGAAGTCCCGAGACCTAGTGCAGGGCCCAGCGTGATGGAACCTGCTTCTTATTGTCCTCTCTACTCCTACAAGGATGCCCACTGCCTTGGGTGGCAGATGTATAGGGCCGTGGCTCCTGAGCGTCCTCACCATAGGGTCCAGCCTTCCTAGCTGGAGGGGGTTTCCTAAGCTGCCGTGAGAACTTACCACAGACCTGGTAGCCAGAAGTGGAGGAAATCGGTCCCTCTGTAAGAGGCCAGAAGTTTGATATGAAGGTGTAGGCAGGGTGGGTTCCTTTGGGTTCTTAGAGAGAACCCGTCCATGCCTCCTTCGAGTTTCTGAGCTAATGGCAATCCTGGGCACTCCTTGGATTTCCTGCCCCTTGCTCCTTCAACTCTCTACATCAGGGACACCAGACCTCCCCCTGCTCTGCCTTCTTTAAGGTCCTGGCCTTGAGCAGTGGCTTCCTCTCTTGAGCACCAGCTGATCGCACCATCTGGAACGTGTTGTTTCTCCTTTCTTCCTCCTGCTCTCAGGAGAGGCTCTTGCCCCTTTTCCTGTGCCACTGGGTCCAGGTTTGCCTTTCAGACGACCCATGACGTAGGCTCTTCTTTCCGGCAGCAGTTCCTGAGGCCAGAGAATGACTTCGGCTTGGACTTGGCCTACCCAGGAGACCAATACAAATGGACGTTTGGGTGAAGTGTCCCGCCAGGCCTGTTAGCCCAGGTTCCACTCACGTCGGCCAGAGGAACGCTCCCAGATACCCACCAGTGGACTTCACATGTGGACCACCCGTTCCCTGGCAGGACCCTCACCACCCGAACCCTGTCTGATGCACTTCCCTCTTTTCAAGGCAGAGTGCAGGGGTCGTCCCTGTGTGGAGGCTTTGCCATTGTCCCCTGTCCATCCTGTCTCCTCTGCTCATGAACCCTTCCGTCTCCCAATCAGGTATTACTGTGTATTTAGTAGCTGTTTGATTATTAAGTTCTATTTCCACTTAGATGGAAGGACCTTGGAGAAGAAGTACAATCCTTCCTTCGTTCAACAAAAATATGGGGAGCACCACTTTGCCAGAGGTTGTCCTAAGTGTGGGAATGTGGAGGTGACCATGACAGTGCCCATCCTCAGAGAGCCCAGAGTTTGTCAGGGGATGGCCACTCTATCTCACTGGGCAGTGCTGTGATATGGTGGAGGGTATACTGAAGCCACTGAAAGGGCTCCTTCCAGGGTCAGACACAGGACCTGTGAACGTGAGCGAGACGTGTGAGCGGAATGTCTGCAGCACCCTCACTACACGGCTCTGGAAGCCAGGGAGCAGGCAGGGCTCTGGAAACAGCTGGAAGCACTGGACAGTTCTCCGTGGTGGCGTTGGCAGTGCCAGATGATCTTGGGCATCCAAGGCGCCAGGGGAGGGAAGCTGGAAGGAGGTAGCTGCAACTTGGGAGCATGAAGCAGAAGACAGGGCAGGTCGGGCAGTGAGACAGGCAAATGCTCACACTTCTGTTCCCAGCATGGCAGGCGGAGGCGAGGCTAGTGGCGCAGTCCCCAACAACCGTCTCCTGCCTCTTTCTTGCAGTGTAATCATGTTGGCTTTCCTTTAAACACATGTTTTATCTAGAGAGAGCAGATTTTTAATGGCCACCCAAAGTGCGAGTGATTAGGGTGAGAGGCAGAAAGACCTTGACCCTGAAGGCGCTTCCGGCAGTGGGACCAACACCAGTGGCATCTTTGGGGACTCTCCTGTTTTGTGAAAGGAACTGTGCAGCAGTGTTTAACCACATACCTAGTGCACGCAGGTTTTCTGTTACTGCAACCCAAGTAAAACCGTGACTCCGGGGGAATGGTGGAAGTCTCCTGGGAAGGAGGAGAGAGAGAGGGGTACTATTTTTATATGTCACATTTCAGTTTTTTATGGAACACTCATTTGCAACTCATTCTGATTACCAATCTTGCATAAAAACCTCCCCAAAATTAGAGGCAAAAGAAAAGACACCTCTTCCTTATGACCATCTGCTCCATGGGTCAGGGATTTGGACAGAGCTCAGTAGCATGCTGATCTGTGTCCCATCATGTCTGGGTAGACTTGAAGTCGAGGGCAACTCAGGGCTGAGGGATCTTCACTGTGTGAAGGCTGAGGCCACGGTGGGCTGGACTGAAGGCTGAGCACAGATACATTGACCAGAGCATCCTATGGCCTCTCCATGTGGCCTGGGTGTCTTGCAGCATGAAGGCTGGACTCTGAGAAGGAGTGGCCCAACTGAGCTGGTAGCAACCGCATGCCTTTTATGACCTAACTCATCAGCTAGTCGTCCCTTGGTATCCACAGGAATTGATTCCAGGAAACTCCTTTAGACACTAAAATCTGCCAGTGCTCAAATGACATAGTATTGACGTAATATATATATATATATATATATATATATATATATATATATCCTGTTTGTATTGTGTCTAGCTTACTTAGAATACCTAAGACAATGTAAATGCTACGTGAATAGTTGTTAGACTGGATTGTTTAGGGAATGGATCATTTACAGTGTGAACAGTATAGATGCAATTGTTTTCTGAATATTTTTGATCTGTGTTTGGTTGAATCTGCAGATACAGAATCTGCAGGTGCTAAGGGCCAACCAGTAAGTAACCCTCTTACAGGAGGATTGACAATGTCTGTTGCTATGTTTTGGCCACAGGCCACTGGGTTTTCAGGACTTGGGAGGCAGACTGGATTCACAGCCAAAAGGTAGAGGTGGGAGGCTGTGGATGGGATAGCCTGGGACAGTGTGGCAAATGCCTGTCCTCAGTAAAGGCTTAGAGGATGAATCATTCACTCGGGAAGGGGCTTCTACAGGTGATCTCCACCCCTGCCTAGAGCAGCCACTCTTTGATCTGATCTGAATAGAAGGATCTCGGTTGACTGAGCCCCCAGCTACCCCCTGGCATTGGACAAGGAGCCCTCAGAGTCCTGCTTCTCAAACTTTAATGTGCACGAGAATGACCTCAGGAGATTCATTCTAAGTACAAAGCCATGGGCTTCCTCCCAGGGATTCTTTCCAGTGGACCTGGCAGTGTAGGGGGACAGGAATCTGTCTTTGTAAAACTAGTTTCAGCTGTAATATGGCTTCAGGGGCTGGGCCACGGCGAGACATGTCAGTGTTGTTTGGATAATTAGTAAATCAAGTTAGAGCAGGATTTCAAACTATGTTCTGTGGGGCCTGAGGGTGCCACACGGGACACCCTTCTGCATCAGTGGATATAGTGGATAGTCATTGGGTGCTTTAGGCCAAGCCTGGGGCTGGACATCAGGTGGAAGACAGTATTCAAGGTGGACACTGTGTCTGCCTGCAGAGAGCTGGCGTCCTAGCAGCCGGGGAGGAGCTGCGGCGTCAGGAGCTCAGTAAGGTCATTATGAAAGGGAAAGCACAGGGTGCCATGACATGCAATAAGAAGGAAAGGGGGGTGCACCCATGCCACTGTGCGCCCCCCTCACTCCACATCAGGGCACACTCTTCCTGGGAACCAAGTCACCGAGGTAGGTGATCCCTGAGGGTCTCTGCACCAGAACCTTTCATCCTATGACGTTCTGTGACTTTACCTCTGAATAAAGTCAAAACAGGCCGAAGGCATGACTGAATTTAAATTTGAGATTGCGTGGTTAGTACCCTCATTCTTGAAATTGCGAGGCTCTTTAGGGATCAAAAACATCCTGTGTCATGGTTTGGAGACAACTGGAAACAAGGACCTTAGCCTGGGGGACTGAGTGAGAGGTCAGGAGAAGCCAGCAAGCCATCTGAAGCAGGAAGCCACAGGCGGGGGCTGGCCCTGGAGGGTGGGCCCGGCTGTGGCTCAGGTGCTTTGGGCTTGTGCATCTGAGTTGATGAGTTTTCATCTGCAAAAATGGGCATCATGGTGCCCATACCTTGAAGTCGTCTTAAGGAAAACAATTATATGGAAAAGAATTGCTAGCTCAGTGCCAGATACTTAGCAAGCACTCAATAAATGATGCCCATTACTAATTTAAGTATCTTTCCTATGCGTATTGTACTTGTCAATATATCTGCAAATGTTTTATAAATGAGAATGGAAAATTCCATAGTTTGGGAGCTGCCCAATGTCAGGGCCCTGCCCGTCTGTGCCTGCCTCCCCGGGTCGGGAGCCCGGGGTGGTTTTCTCCAGTGTGTGCCGCCAGGCTGGCCTCTGAGCATTGAGTTCACCCTCTCCTCATTTTTTCTTGCTTTGTGCAAAAGGGAGAAAGTTATTTTTTCCAGTGGACACCAAGCATACATATCCAAATTTGGACTGCTGGGCTTCCTTGTTTTTAAAGAATGAAGATGGTAGCCATGTATGTTGTTGAAAAAATAAAGAGGAACCTGAAATAAATAAAATAAAATAAAGAGGAACCTCTCTCCCTCCCTCCCCCCTCTCCCTCTCTCCGTTTCTCTCCCTCTCTCTCCCCATCTCTCCTCCTCTTTCCCCCCTCTCCCTCTCAATATTTCCCTCCCTCCCCTCTCTCCCTCTCCCCGTCTCCCCCTCCCTCCCCCTCTCTCCCTCTCCCCGTCTCCCCCTCCCTCCCTCTCCTCCTCTGTCCCTCTCTCTCTCTGTCCCTCTGCCCCTCTCTCCCCCTCTCTCTCTCCCCCTCTGTCCCTCTCTCTCTCTTCCCCTCTCCCCTCTCCCCCTCTCACCCTCCCCCCTCTCCCCTCTCCCCCTCTCCCCCTCCCCCCCTCCCCCCTCCCCTTCTCTCCCTCTCCCCCTCTCTCTGGTGCTGGGGATGTGAACCCAGGGCTTCACACATGCTGAGCTGCACCCCCAGCCCTTCTTGTAATTTTGAGACAGGGCTGTGCCAAGTTGCCCGGCTGCCCTCAGACCTCGGCTCTGAGTGCATCTTGGGGCCGCGGGCCTTTGCCTCCACTCCTGGCTATTCTGATGGGTTAACTCTCCTATCACTGAGCTGCAGCTCTTTTTCTGTTTTTCCTTGATTGTTAAATAACCCACAGTGCACAGGTAAGCAAGGGCCTCTGCAGCTCCCTGGTCTGAGGAGGGGCCGGCCGTGGCACCCAGCCTCAGCTCTGGAGCCTCCAGAATGAAAGGGGACAATGGCAGAGGTCACTCTCCAGTGCTGCTGCTGCAGCTGGATAAAGTGGTGTGTGCAGAGCTCAGTGAGCTGCTGTTGCTGTGTCCATGGGAATTGACCACACACCCTGGTACTGACTGACAGCTGAACCTGACACGAAGTCCCATGGAGCTCTGGCCCCTGGTCGAGGCATCCACCTGTCTCAGTCACTTGGCATCGCTGGGACCAGAAGATCCTTCAAGAGCAACATAAAGGAGGAAAATTTATCATGACTCCTGGTTTCAGAGGTCCACTCTCTGGTCACCTGACACCATGGCTCTGGGCAGAGGTGAGGCAGGCATCATGGTGGAAGGGTGTGGCCGAGGAACGCAGCTCAGGACGTGGCAGTCAGGAAGCAGAGAGAGGGATCAAGGCACCAGGGACAAAAAGTGTCCCAACAGCATGCTCTCAGGGACCTGCTTTCTCCAGCCACACCCCACCTGCCCAGGGCTACCACCCAAATAATCCATCAGTGGACTAATTCCCCCGACAAGATTATACTTCTCATAGTCCAATCCATCCACCTCTGGAAATCTTTGCATTGTCTCACACATGAGCTTTTGGGGGACTCCTGATACCTAAACCATAATAACTTGGTGTCTAACTCAGAATAATATAATATCTAACTCATAATAACATGACCACTTATTTTGAATGTCAGTTAGGTAAAACCACCTAAGTCATTGGGGTGTCTTACGAATGTGACCTTGAGCCAGATCTGGGAGAAGGCTGGATCCATGGACCAGCGAAGGTTGGCTGTGAAGCCCTCTGTGTGGAGGGGTGGAAGGTTCAGGATTCACTCATGTCGATCAGGTGGTGGTGTCGGGAGCAGTCAGGAGTAGGTTTCCTTGGAAATAAAGATTCAAAACTGTGGCTTCATCATGTAGAAATTAATTTCTCCTTCACATCCTCAAAGCAAGGCTGGTGTGGCATTCTTCGGTGTTAGGGGGGGACCCATCTTCTTCTATCCATCTTCTTCTATCTATCCATCTTCTATCCATTCTTCTATCCTCCACACAGGGAGTAATAAGAACCGCCATCTATTCCCAAATTTACCTCATAGTCTAAGTTGGTTTTTCCAGTTCCTGCCATCAAACCTTTATTCCAAGCATCCAGAAAGAGAGAAGAGCAGATCCTTTACCTTCAAGGACATTTCCTACAGAATTCATACAGCACTTCTGCTTACATCTCATTCCCTGGGATTCTCTTAATTACCTAGATTTGAGGGATGCTGATAGATGCACTCTTTATCCTGGGGACACAGATGCCAAGGGGACTATTTATTTGGGACCCATAAGCTATTATACTGCAGGGTAAAGGGGGTTAGGCCCCTATGCTTAGACCAAAGCCAAGGCTATGAAAACCAGTCCCATCTGTAAAATGGGGAGCTGTAGTTTCTGGTTGCCATAGTAATGGAGAACAGACCCTGATCGGGAAGTGGCTCATCCTTGCACCTGAGGCCCTGAGTGTGCACCCTAACTCTCAGAGGAGACTTTCTTGTGAGGTCAGACACAACTTGTTGACTCTGGCTCTAACTCCCTGCCCACCGTGGGAAAGTCTAGCATGGAGGCTGGAGAGGAGGAGTTCGCAGGGGTGGTACTGTGGTGAGGCCTCCTGTCTGCCACTACGTGCTGGGTAATAAACGAGGTCTGCGATGTGCGGATGGTAGATTCGTCTTCAATGGCATTTAAAAACGGGATTGGGTAGTCACTTAGCTTAGATGGAAGTTTTCATGAAGAGACTTTGAAGAAAATATTGCAAAGCGTCCCCACTCAGCTGTGGAAGAGAACCTGAGAGCCTCCTGGGTGTGGCTCCTGCTGCCCTGTTCCCTGAGTGCTTTCTCCTGTCATGTCACAGGGGCACATTGGCCTTAACCATCCATCATCAGGATTCCTTGTTTAAAGCTACTGAGGGTTATTGCAACATTAAGAGACCCCTGGAAAGTCACGGTCAAAACATAGTCTACGTTGAAATGGATTTGCAAGTTGAATTCAAAGACCTAAGGAAAACTGGATTTTTTATTATTTTAATATTAATACATTTATAGTAATCAATGCCTACCTTTATCAATACACAAAAGCCACCCTCACAGGGGATGTCTTTTGTAAACGCATGTTGACATATTCACTTTCATCTTTATTGATTCATATGCAAAATAAGAGGGCTCTGGGATCATTTTTTTTCTTTATTAGTAGAGCCAGTGTTTGTTTTTGCTCCAAATTAAACCCTTATATGTTGACCTATGTTTTGAGAGGTGACCCTCCACGTAGTCTGGGGTGCTTGGCAGTTGAGGTGTCCCC